CCCTGCTCTTCACTCTTCTCCGATGAGTAGTGCAGAGCCACCAGAGGGATCTCATTAGTGCACTGCTCCCAGGTTAATTGGCTAGCTCAAAGAAAAGGCCTGAGAAAGAAGAAATGAATTAGAAGGACACACACTCTGTCCGTGGAGAAAAGGGAATCGACCTGTGTGTTTTTCACGCTGGCAGCTCCTCTAAACAGTGATGCAGCTGCTGTCAGGCCAGATGTGATTCTCTCCCAGTGATTAGTGCTGCAAGTCCTTCGGACTCTGCAAGGCCTTGGCCCCTATTGTTGGATTTATCTACCATGGAACTATATAACAAATCTGTAAGGCACCCCATGTGACAGGTTCATATTTCTCTAGGAAAAGGAAAACGATAACATCAAGCTGAATTGAAAGTGTTATCTGCTGGCTATCTGGACGAGTCTATGCAGAGACGGCAGCGGCGAACTTGTGCGCCATGCTGTGTCTGTGCTTCTGCATGTCCATGAGAGACTCAGCAGAGTGTGCTTCAGTACCCCGGAGGCCACGGCTCGACCCTCAGCTGTCCTAAGAAACAGAGGGAAATGACTCTTGAGGGAGTGTGTTGTAAGAGTGGTGCTTATGACAATACCAGGAGTGTGTGAGTAGGGTCTGGAGTGCTGTCCACTCTTTAATTAACCCCGCCGTTTCCTGTCGAACTGGGCAATCAGCACATGGCAGCCACAAAATGATGCACAATGTCAGAAAAGTAATAAATAAATCAGGATTAAACAACATGAATTCTGTCACGTCCTAGGGCTGGACATAATTTTGATCCTTTTCACTATATTAATGAGAATATTTTCATATTGATTTGTATTACTATATGACAGATTTGCTAAGTAATGTATAGTATAATCAGACTCATGTTAACTGCTTCACGTTACGTGCTCCTCATACTTGTAACACACATACCTCACATAAAACATGGTAAACACAATATGATAGGACAGTAAAAGTGTTGGCAATATACATGCAGTACAGAGTACAATAAAAGGTTATTGTTCAAACAAGAATAAATTAATGTGCTAACCTGTGCGAGCAGCTGAGAGGCAGTTTATGGTCTGCTAGAATTATGAGCGTCAAAGACCCTTTTACATGTCTACCAGAAACTGGGGGCTTGAACCATCAACCTCGTAATTGACAGGCAACCCATTGTTACAAATGGTGTAACATTGGTAGAGGTCCTTGAGGTGCAAAATAATAGCAAAATTTAGTATAGGGAGTGTGGCTGTGGGTTGTCGAAGTGTTAGCAACTGACATAGGAGGCTTGAGTAAACAATAAACAATGCACCTCCCCTCTTCTCCTTTATTTCCTCTGTCTTTCTCTTTCTCTTTTCCCTCTCTTTCTCTCCAGTTACATGATAACAGGATCAGTGGTTCACTGGGGTTCAGCCAGCACAGGGATCATATTCATATGAGAAGGGTTGAGACTCTCCAAATTGGCTGCTGCACCTAAACAAAGTAGGGGGGATTAGGAGTAGGGATAGCAACTGCATTAGTCGCAAGTTCATCTTTTGCCATCTTCATTTCTCCTCTGGCTTCGCCTCAGTTTGCTGGACATCGTTCCTTGTAATCCCCGCCAAAACACACACACACACATACACACACACTATAGCCTCCCCCCTTGTCTTTTCAGCTGGGAGAGAAGGCAAAAAGCAATTGGGGGGTGGGGGTGTGGGGTGCACATAGATTTGCTGCCATTGTGTGTCAATCATTCTGTGTGTGTGTGTGTGTGTGTGTGTGTGTGTGTGAGAGAGAGAGAGAGAGGCCTTGCCTCCAGTGATTAGCTCTGTCAATGCCGGTCTCTTGCTGCTTACAGAATAATACAGTAAGGCCTTGAGGAGCAGGAGGGAGAGAACAGGAAGGTGGTCTGCATGTGGGTCTGCCGTCTCAGTGGTCAATGGTTTGTGTTAGTGTGGGTTCAGCTGTGTGTGTAAGAGAGAGACTGTTTACTCATCTTTTTTCTGGGCTATCTGTTTGTGTGGGAGTGCATGTTTTTTTGGAAGTGAATTCAAGCTGAGTTACTCGGTTTTGTTAGACAACACGTGAAATAAGAGGCGGATGTCTGAGACTCGCAGCACAAACTCCGAACACGTGCAAAGACAATATAACAATTTATATAGTCACATCACAGATGCATTGGGTCTACCCCCCCCCCAAATGTCTTGCTCTTCGTCTCCCCCACACAAACTCACATATTTTTGCTCATGTCATAAGTGGGTGTGCAGAGTATCGCCTTGAGCTGCAGATGAACATGAAATAAACACAAACTAGGGTAGTGACAGTTTTAAATCGGCTTTAGATCACTATGAAAGGTAAAGGATTAGGATGCTTTTTTCAGTCCTGAGGAGATAGGACACAATCTTGGAAGAGAGCCCACTCCTCTCAGCCCATGTGGGCCGGGTGTCTATCTTCTAATCTTCTAAAGCACTCTTACACCATTTGCATGTAGTGTGGCCTACATAGCTGGCGCATGCTTGTCTATATCGGCTATGATAAAAACAGATATTTTACACAGTGATGGAAGGATAATTTTCTGGTGTGATAAAGTCATCAATTTCACCTCACTATCTAGATTACAAATTCTCCACTGGAGGCCGTTGTTTAATTTTCTAATGCAGCATCTGTTCTCAACACATCTCAGCAAAGAAGATTTTCACATTCGAGTCTTTTTAAATCTTTACATTTAATATGTTACAACCAGTTTGTGTCACCCTCTGCTCATTAAAATTTTTCAGATTTGCATTTGTGTATTATTTATTGTTTCACAAATAACCTTACTTCCAGTTAGATTTTTTTTTTTTACTTTTCTGAACTCGCTTTAATTCTCAGCATTTTTACTGTCATAAGAATCCACTGAAAGCTATTCATTAAAACACTTTTATGGACTTGTTACATTTTAATATTTTTATTTTAAACCAATTTAGTTATAAAATGTGGAGAGGAGAGAAACTTTCAGTCACTGCTTTCAAAACAAGCCAGGTTATTTAATTGAGTCCATATTTAGTCAATATTTTTTGCTATCTAATCGCTCTCTAATTGTGAATATATATGCAGGCCGTACTCTCTCCTCTTTTGATTACCATGGGTTTTGTCAGCTTTTTTTTCAACCAAATCAGGCATGAAACCGTCCCGGGAAGACGGTTTTTCTTTTGTTTTGTCCTTATAATGCTTTTTCTTACTTTCCCCTTCGAGTGCAGAGAGAAAACTCGCAACAAAATCAAATTAAAATTTCTATTGAAAATGTTGCTCTTGTTATTCAGATGCTGGTTTAGGGTCTTTTGTGTAAATCTAATTATTCTCCGCTATCAGGACGGTCCACGGGGTAATTAGTCACTTCTCAAGAAAGTCCTCCCTGCATCCTCAGATTCTTATCACCATAACTCTGACATTTTAAAAGAGACATTTTGTCTCTTTTACGATAGCCCGGAGTCCCCCCCTCCTCCCTCTCCCCCTCCCCTTTCGCATTTGCTTATTTTTAAAGGAAATTTGGTGATGCGCTACGCGCGTAAATGGCCAGTGCTTTCCAAAAATGCAACTGTTTTTCAATTGTGTCGTGTTGAAGAGGAGAAAGGAAAAAGCGACGACGCTGCAGCACCTGTGCAGATCCTGTTTTGCAGACAAGCAGAAACGTTGCGCCGTGCCAATCAGAGCAATAATACCGTGCAGAGTTGGGAGGTGAGGAACAAGCGAAGGAGGAACCGTAGCCTGAAATCAGATGAAGGTCCAACCGGGGCGAGAGGTCCGGAGCAGGGGGACAATTCAGCGCCTGCATGGCTCTCAATGAATTGCTTCACCTACACTTTGGGGTAAATTGGTCAGTTTGAGTGGCTGTCTCCTCAGTCTCTCTACGGGAGAAACAGAGTAAATGGTTGCAATTTTTTTTTTATCAGACTAAATCACACTGAAAAAATCAAGCATATCCCTTCCTACCAAAATACTTAAAAGATTGCAAAGAGCAAAAAATAAAATGGACACTGAAGATATAGGCACGTTAAAGACATATAATAGGGATTGTGGTGTTTTGACTAGGCCTGTCCTCTCCATCAGATTTTTAAATTTGCACGACTTTAGCCAGTAAAAATGATTTTTGCTTCAGCCCCAGATCTCTGACCCTGTTTTCTGATATTTAATAGATGAAAATTGACCCTACAGCTGATTGTGGCACAGCATGAAATGATTGTATTGTCTGCAAGCATTTATTTTATTTTTGTTTTCCCTCTGTTGTTTTTAAAGACCATTTTTATTTTAAATAGTAAAGGCTGTGGAGTATAGTCTGATTAGATGTGGTCACCCCCTGGTTGTAATTTAAAAGAACTTTTTTAAATCACAAAATTTTTAAAGACCTCCTGATGCATCGGTTACTGTAGCACTCTACACTTTTACAGCAGTATTGGCTTCTGTATTTTCTAATGTTTTAGGGCTAAGGATACATTTAATTTTTCAGTTTTTACAGCAGTGCTTAGTGCTGACTGCTGCAAACCAAATCCATAATGCTCATTTCTGCCACCTGTTGGCTGTGACCTTTAGGCAGCAGGAGAGAGTGTGCTTTATAAAAATGCTAGAAGTATTTGTGTGCTTCAGATATAATATCCAGCTAAATAGTCAAAGCTTTGCAGTCTGCGGTGGCTAAAATATGACTCAAGTCAGTTAAATAAATACATTTTAACACACAGACGGTGGGATAGAACCAGGCAGACAGCAGTGGTCAGATCAGATCATGGCTCAGACTGCCAGCTTGAGTAGTGATGGCTTTACCAGTAATTAAGATGGGGCAATGGCAAAAACAACACAAGTGTGGCTAAATGTGCACCTGTTAATATACATTTTTTGTTTCAGACACTACCTGGCAAGTGCTGATAATATGTGATTTTAGTGGCTTTAGAAAGAGAGAAAGAGAGAGTGGTAGTGGTGGTGGGAGAGGGGAAGAGGGGATTTTCTAATCAGAGTCACTGTCGTTTTGTTGTCACCTGCTCCAGACAGACAAAGTGGCATTTCCTGACTGTTTCCATCCCTGTCTGAGTTATCTGACACCCAAAAATACGGCTACGGGGGAAGCAGGGAGACGAGGCACCACAGCCTTATCCCGGTAAGGAGATGGCTTCTTATCAGATCAGGCTAGGAAGTTTATTTTATGGAGTAAATCTGGATAGAGGGGATAAAGAAATGACACATCCCTAGCGGACACAAAGAGAGAAGGAGATTAGTCCTCCAGCAGCATATATGGCTTTAGTTCAACCTGACAGGCAGCGGATTGAAAGGTCATGAAATAATAATCCCCCTATTCTTCTGCTCTAATCCTACAGGGTGTGTTTCACTATGGGAACGTATAGGCTGAGGCTATGTGCTGCAGGGAGGATGTTCATTTTGTGTTGTCACTGTATTTAGATAGGCATCCAAAACTGATTTAAATTAATTAGACTAATTATGATTGAAGAGGGGTTGCTTCTGATGAATGTCTGAGCCATCTGTCTCTGACGTTAGGGTTGTGGGCTTTTTTCTATTTTTGTCCTTCATGGTTGTACATATGCCGGAGGTTATTTTCATCTGCCGTTGCTTTTTTTTTTTTTTTATCAGACAGGTTTGGGGTTAAAGGGACACTACAAAAAACTTCCAGTCACCAGGAGCCCTTTCCTCCACCACCTCACACACACATTAGGCATCAGGTGTGATGCAAACACACACTTCATCCTATTGTGTTTGTATAAGTGTGACTTTGTATATGTGTGCCCATGCATGGACATGAGAAAGAGGGAGAGATTATGCCATTTAGGGAAGTGTGATCTGGCCCGGTGGGGGTGTGTATGTGTGTGTGTGTGTGTGTGTGGGCATGCGTTATGTGTTTGGAGTGTGGTGGGTAGAGAGGTGAAGGGAGGGGGTAGAGCCTGCCCAATAGCCTGATAATCAAGCATCGAAAATGAGAGAGAGAAATTCAATGCAAACTAATGTGTTCCACACAATTACTCGATTAATAATTCTTATTCCATTACAGTGCCATGGAGACTCAGAAAAAGAGAGAGTGTCTGTATATTTCCCAATGCTTAGTTAAGGCTGCAAGGCAGGGGTCAGGAAACTTAATTATAGCGTAAGTGGATAGAAACTGCAGAATGATAAAGAGAAACATGCAGACCGATTGGAATGGCAAGGACAGGTTTAATACTATCTTTTCCTGTCTGCTTCCCTCCCACAATACAAGCCAGACCTGCAATCACACAAGGAAACAGCCCATGCACCCTGGCTGACAATAACACTAATGCATATCAAAATTACATACTCCACAGCTGCAAGGCATTTTGCATGACCACTATTACTTTCCAATTTTGTGAGTTCAAGAAAATACATATCCCATGTAATAGTGATATCAGAGGAACTTATTTCCATGCTGCGTGTGTCAGAGCTTCAGATAAGCGTTCACCTGTGGTCGAACAAGAGTTATTAAACCATACCTACCCTGATGGACCTGCTGAATAAATAATCTGTTTTTTAATTTTTAGTTCCACCGTTAATTCTTCATCTTTCATCCTCTTTATTTATTTTCTTTAATATCTCAACGTCCAGATTTTTAGAAAGCCACATGTGTGTCTTGATATTCCATGTGTCTTGATTTGGATTTCAAATCAATAGGGCTCAATGGGCGGCCCTGTACACACTATCCACAGTGTGAGCTATGCAATCTATTTGCACTGTATTAGATTTGCATATCTGCTGCTCATGAAGCAAGGCTTTAATTTCCTCCTGCTGGAGATAAACATCACCTTGTTGGAGCAGATGGGAGGAGGCAGGATGGGGTCAATGAAGAAGAAGCAGGACAATGGCATTGGTTCAGACGTTGAATGGCCAGAAGTAATAAAATTGCACAATTTCCATACGGTGGCCAATTTTTATCTTATTTATTTATTTTGATAAATTAGGATCAAATATGATTTAAGGACATGCTGCAGAACTCTGAGGGAAAGAAAGATTGGACGATGAAGGATGATATGTGTTACATTCAGTTTGTTACGTCTGTAGTGTGCACATGAGTACATAGCATACTAAATAACTTTAACATGACTAGAATCTGTAATGTAAAGTGATTCTTTTTCTAGGGCACTTCCATTTATACAGTCATCTTCTTGTATATTGTTTTGGTCAGTGTCTATATATTTAATATAATTAAAAGTAGAGATAGATTTCATGTCATGTATTGTTGGCATATTGTACTGATCACACTAGAGGGGCACTCCCATATTGTATGAATTAGTGTCAACTAAGCAATTCGTTTCAGATAGATGGGATTGAATCAGTGTCTGAGCTGGAATTGAGTTCGGACATAAGGAGGTAAATTGAACTTTGCTTAATTTTTACTCAAAGTTACAGGATGGGCATTGTGAGAGCTCACACATTGTTGAACACCATTTGTATTAGAGAAGGGAGACAGGGATAGCAAGAATAGTTTCTGAATAATGAGCAGCTCATGAGGGAGTTATGTAAACCTCTTGTTATTTGGATGTAGGAACCTTGTAATTAAAGTACTTTTACGGGGGATGGTTCCGCTTTCTGCCTCAAGGAGAACTGGGCGAGGCTGGAGGTTGGGGAGGGTTAGAGGGGGCGGATGAGGGGAAGAGAAGTGCATTCCAGTCGCGCATTAACTTAAAACGTCATATTTATCAAAGACACCTATGCAAATCAAGATCCCAATTCATGGATCCTGCTAATGACACAAACAAGAGTAATTAATTAAAATCAGATGCACATATACACACAAGCACACGCGTTATACATGTGCAAACCCTCGTGTAACAAGTTCATCTAATTTTCAAAGACGCCACATAGTCGGATAAGGAGAGAAAGGAGAGGAAAAGGCAAGAAATCTGCATCACAGTGTTAATTTAATCAGACTTCAGTAATACCTCTTCTTCTCCTCTCTCCCCAGGCAGCGTGTGGTTTCTCTGCTAGCTTGAGGAGAAGATGAAGGGAGCTTTCAGCCTCTTAGAAGATGAGGGTTAAAGAATGGAGAGATTAAGGAAGTGAGAGAGGGGCTGAAAAGAGGGCTGGGGATTATGTCATCTGCAATTGATGTACTCTCTTAATGTACCATTAAACATATGCCACTGGGGCATGCTTTTATAATGTCTATTCACTCACGGGAAGGGGGTTAACGTATTAACCCAGAAATACTTTGCAACATATGTGCAGCTCGTGTATTGAGAGTAGTTATCAGGGTTTATGTCACTTTGATATGTATACAGCATGTGCAGAGATCTTCTTTGTCAAAGGAAGTCCATTTCTGCTTCCCATACACCACCATGCATTGTGCTGATCTCCATATCAAAAAAGAGATCCTTTATCGAATGATCATAGGGACAAAATGTGTCTTTATTCCACATCTTCAGCTCCAATGAAAATGTTCCCGCAATCTGGTCCAACTTGGACTATGAGCAAAGAATTTAATAAATTGACTGATTCTCCTCTAACTGCTGAATGAATTGTCGCTCAAATTGCTGCTTGTCTCAACAAAATGACAGTGGAGCGAGTGTGTGGAAGATCCTCGGATCTTATCCATCACAGTGTTATGGGGTTAAGTGTACTTGGGTGAGTGTGCACGTACACTTGTCTCGGTGTCTGAGCAACTGTACTGTGTGCAGCCATTCGATTAAATCCACAGCTATCACTAACAGGATTAGCTGAGTGGACAGCAGAAGTCTATCATTGCTTATTGATTTCCACTGATTTCCATCAGCCCATCAGGGCAGGACATTCTCTGAGTGGCCCCTGTGGGAATCACTGCTGCGGGCCTGGGTTAACGTATTGTGGCTAACGTATCTGAGACCCTTCAAAGCAGGTACCCATCGTTCTGTGTCAGGAAAAGTCAAATAAGTCAAAGCTATCAGGGGCAACAGATGCTCCCGTCTCTCCTTCTTGGGTGAAAATTATAGTTTCACTCCCATTTCAAGTGAAATACTTGGGGATCAGTGTAATCAATAAATCACCGAGATAGTATTGTTGAGCAACAACAAGTGAGTCTCTCCTGACACCGTGGAGGGGAAAAGGGCATCTTTCCTGCCAAATAAAAGAATGAACTCATCAGCAGTTTGTCTTGAACTTAACAAAATTTCTCCTGGTTATATGTCGCAGTTTATGTTAATAAGTGTCAGCTGGATTTATATTTGGCACAAGAGGGTAAGGAGAGTCCTTTCTGGTTTATAGTAACTGCTACCACATCTTAGGGGTCAACAAATGGCATGTACCTCAGAGTCATGGCTGTTTTGTCATTGCTGATTTTTCAAAGTCTTAGGAAATGCATACAAGCCGGTTTTGAGCAGCAGAAGCAGTTTTTGGACACATGTTTGAAAAAAGTCACATATATGAATACTGCACAGCACTCTGAGAACATAAACATCCACCAAGGCAGCTCACTAACCCTATAATGCCATTACACCTAAAAGCGATATTCCCATGACAGTTTGACCCTCATAATATGACTCATTGACCATGAAAAACTACTTCTAGAATTTGGAATCAAATTGACATCTGTTGACACCTTACTGAGCCAGCAGAGTTTCAGCCAGAATTTGATCATAGTTGCACATCTATAGCATTCTTTCTTGTCTCACAGTAGCAAGTTTTCTGTGAACCCTATAAATGTGAATATTCTGGGCCGGCAGATCCGGAATATTGCTTGGATCTAGGTCATACTTTGGTTTGTGGTAAATATTATGTGGATGTTGTCTTGCAATTTTTGTACAAGCATTCTAGGCATTATATTTGGACTTAAAAGCTAAACTATTGACATTTTTCTGATCTAACAGTGGTAAAGGATCCTGGATCCAAATGAGGATCCAGATTGGCACCAAAAGATAATGGATTGTTCCTACCTCTCCAAAAATTTCAAATCCATGCATTACTTACACCGAGGTGTAAGTAAAGTGGTAATAATACACCACCAACAATCTGTTGCTATGTTCATTGTGAAGTGACTCATTTTATTTTAATCTGCCCATGCGTGGCAGTTTAGGGTGTCACCAGCGTTCACACCAAAGCTGGATACTTGTCACTTATAAACATGAATGTGAACATCAACACAAAAAAGATTGCAACTGAGCATTAAGGCCTGTAATGTGAACGTAACATCTGGGACTGTGTACAGCAACAAAATTTGAGTTGATCTTTAATCATATCTACAATAGAGGAATGAACAGCTCTCATGATGCTCAAACTGAAATAGCAAACATAAACGGCAAAAAAAAAAAAAATATTGGATTGATGGCGTTGTTTGTCCTAAAGATTCCATGCACAAAAATAAAGCTCATTTGTTAATTGCAGCTCTTTTCCTCTGTCACAAATGTACCATTGTTTTCTTCCTTTAGGAATAAGAAATGAAGAAGTGATGTAGTACAGAAGGAGAGAGGGTGTAGTGCATCTGCGTAAGAGAGAGATACTAACGAAAGATAATAACCAAGGTGAGGCTGACAGCAGTTCACCCTCGATGGTTCAGGTGTCAAAGAAGTGCCTGGGAATTTGTGAAATTAATAATAGCGTTTGTGAAAGGGTGAAAAAGACATGTACCAGGAGGTTTAAAAGTGTACCTCTGGATGCAGCTGTGACAAGGCCATAAGAATTACTCCAATTAAAAGTCCTCACCTCCTCCTCACTGATGTCTGCATGTTCTCCTTGTCTCATAATAGTGCATCTCAGCTCTCCACCACTTATGCACTCACCTCTGATTTCTCTTCAGCTTCAAAATTTTTTTTTTTTTTTGTTGCTTTTCTCGGCACCCTGAGGATTCCAAAAATGAAAATGATAGTTTCAAAATAGATAATGACTTAGTGATTATTGTTTCACGGGTTTATTGTTCATCACCATGACAAAATAATAATATATAACATATATAATGTCGCAAAAAAGTAATCTCATTTTCTGAAAGGAAATATGAGACACAGTGGTAGTGCAGCTTTTCAAATAAGTATGAAATCAGTTTTGACATATTTTTGGAACTGGTGTTTCAGGTCTTCCGGTGTGTAGCAGCAGTTGACTGACATTTGGGAGCCAGGGTTGCTGGAAGACACACTGTACGGTATTGACTCTAACATATCTGAACTCTGTAGGCTGCAAATGCTAACACAATCTCTGTGGTCGCTTTTATTTATTTATTTTTTATGAGCTCACATGGCAGACCTTTACAACATTTAACATTTGACAGGTCCCATTGTGATTGTATTCCACTTTGAAGGTATAAGCTGCTTAGCTAGGCTTTCTAGGTGCCATTACTCTTCATTCATGTTGTTTCATTGCTCCTGCACATTCAGTGCTGTAGTCGACCTGCATAAATTTGATGTCTTAGCTAGCATTAGCTGGCTCTCTTTCATGGACCAGTTGTGGTGATACAGTATCCACTGATCACAGCAACAAGGCAGCCTGTATCCTGAGCACTCCATCTGTTACCCATGATTCTAATCATGATGCGTTCAGTATTAACATATGGAAAGCTCAAACCTCAGATGAGGCTAAATGGTTCAGTATACTCAGTTCCAACTTCTTGTTGGACATTCAGAAACACAGCTGGCTTTTCATGTTGCCTTATGAATGTGGCTGCTTAGATCAGGCATAAACAATTTGATGTCTGACATACAAGTTCTGTCAGAGCATGACTAAAATGACATTTTAGTCTTAAAGAAAGTCATGAACATTTTAGTCTACTACCTTGATTAGTTGGCTTAATGTGGGAAATGTGCAGTACACCCAGTTAATTAAAATACAGAGATTAAAGTTAATTTTTTCATTTTAGTCACCTATTTTTTGTTTATAAGGGTATATACACACATTTCTTAGCACTAGTGGATCGAATATTGAGCTTTTTTTCTCTCCAGCCCATCATCACTGTCAAGTATTTTGAATACTGAAGGAAGAGTGGAGCATTTTTTCCCCATGAATCATTATATCATTCTGTTGTGACTGGACATAACTATTGCAGGGTCAGGGAGGAGAATTTCCTTCACAATCCTATCTTGTCTGACTTGATTATAGTCTGTACACTTGTGAAAAAACTAGCAAATGAATTGTCTCCTCTGCTCTAGCCGACAAGGTGGTCAGCCACGTAATTTGTCTCTGCCCAGCTCAAAGTGTGTAGTGTAGGCAGTCCATTGAATTCCCATCCGTCATGGTTAGTTACACGCTTGTCAGCTGCTCTCCCACTGCCCAGCAGTCGAGCCACCACCCTTGACCTGGAAGCATTATATCTAAATCACATTACATGGCCCTGTGTTCTTTATTTCTCTTTTTGAAGTCACCAGAGTGAGACATCTGTCCAGCCCTGTTTGAGTTTACTTTCCACTCAGCCGCCACATCTTAATTAGCTGATCTGATTTTCTGTGTGGGTGTGTGCGTGGCTATTGTGCATGTTTGGGTGTATCTATGTTTGACGGTGTGCATCCATGTTTGTGTCAGCTGATAGGTTTGTTTGTAGGCTGAGGTGATTGACAGGCTGATGGGAAGATAATATGCTGAGCACAACAACCAAAAGGAGCCGGAATTCATTCATTGTGACGATAATTAATCTGAGAGAAAATCCTTGTGTTTGTTCATTAGCCATTGAAACTGGATAACATGTCCTTCCAGGCACTGTCAACCACAGATGTCCCTCACTGAAGGACTCTGCAGCACCTGAGTCCTTCCTGGCTAATAAGGGTGTAATTAGCAGAAGTAAGATGACCATGAGACTAACTCCATTTAAAAAAAAAGTTCAAGTAAACATTTTGTACTTCTCTTTAAATGCATAAATTTTCAGCTCCACTCAGAAACAATGTGCAGTTATCCCATGTAACCTTTAGTGTGCACGTAGGGTGCAGGCTCTCAGTATGAGACTAAATAGCTTATAGGTGCAGCCCGTATATATTCATACCCTTTGCAATCTCCGTCTGGGATTTAATGCAACTGAATGGTTGCTTAACATTTGTGGCTATAGTGAAAGGAAACTGGTTTCAGTTCTCTTGTGTCCTTGCTAGTACTGTTATGTGATTATGGCTTAGGGTACATACTGCAATGTCCCTTTTCATGACTAAATAGCAGAAGAAGGAAGGTAGGAAAAGTCGATATAAATTTTTAGCACTGTGAAAGATTAAAAAGTGAAAGGAAGAGGTGGAAGAAAAAGACTTGTCTCTCCATATTAAGGTCGTCGCCCTGAACCTGTAACTAGAAACGTGCTTTAAAATCGTCTCTTTGTATGCTGGAAAACTAATTAGCCTAGCAGTGCTCTACCCCCACCTTTTCTCCACATACAGTCTGCGGACCTGTAGTGCTTAGCGTGTGCTGTTACTGCATTACAGTGATTCTACATGGCAACACAAGACATTTGTATGATCTGGGCCATTAGCCTCAAAATTTAGGCTGCTATGTTGCCTATTAGAGTTTGTTGAAAAGTCAAGACCTGACAGTTAATACAAGACCACTGACAGGTCAGTTTTAAACTGAGCTGGGTGTTGCAAGTTGAAACGGTAAACATAATGAGATGCATCATTTCAGTTTCAGCAGTAACCAAGATATTGTGCCTGACAGACAGATGTACAGTATAACACAAAACTGAGTACACCGCTGTGCAATATAACAAATGTGTTTGATTTAAAACGGTACCATCTTACAATAATTTTTTCAAACCATGTAATCTTGATGTATGGTTAAAAACAAACTGTTAGATAGATGACATTGAAAATACAGGTCCCAAAGTTCACTATCATTGTAAGAAAGGTGAGTTCACGTGTGATCACTACAAGAAAGGTGACTGCACCTGTGATTTCTAATTAAGACATGAACAACATGAATGTGACTCCAAATGGTAGAGAATTGTCTGAACAAGTAAGAAACTGGACTGTGAGACGTCATAAAGATCAGAGATCTTGTTTACACTTTAAAATGTGTCCTGGGAGATTGGATCACAAGTGGACACCACTAATTATGAGTGTAAACAACCACTAAGATTGTGATCTGATTACTGAAACATTTGCCAAGGTGGTCTGGGACGCATCTTTTGTAGTATAAATGCTAATGCATCCCTGAAAAGGATGTTAGAGGAAAATACATCATCGGTGCAGGACATGGTGGTTGCAGTGGTGAGAGCTGTAGGAGTGCCGCTTCTGTCAAAGTGAGGTGTTAACTGAATGATTTTCGACAGGGGGTGACGTCACATTTTTTAGCACATTTGCTTCGGATCCCCTACCTTCTCCTCACACCCCAGCAGACAATCTAGTAGAAAAAATACAAAGGGTTTATTTATAACAGCAAAACAATGCTTATCCAAAGCAGTTTAGCCTGCTTTACAGAATACCCCCCCCCCACCAAAAATGGAACTTTAGAGTTAAATAGAATGGCATGAACAAAGGAAAAATTCTAGTGTGTGTGATGTCATCAGGTCCATACTTCATCAGTAACAGCAGCTTTCCAGCTAGTCACACAACTTCAAACCTTTCTAGAAGTGACAGACCAGTGTGAGGAAGAGAAAACTCAAGGAATGACTGATACAGATGACCTTTGTTCAGAGATATACTACAGTGTTTGAGAACAAACTGATTCTGCCATTTAAAAAAAATAGCAAGTACTACCCAAACAAACTGATTCTGCCATTTAAAAAAATGGCAAGTACTACCTGCACACCCCAAAACAGGAGACCCTATAGAGAGGCAACTGCTCCCCAAAATCAGGGCAACACTATGATGCACTTCGTGAAGAAATCAGGAGGCTTCACTTTATGTTGAGCCGGGGGAAAGATGGCTTTAACTATGAACAAAACTGGAGAATCCAACTTACCCAAGAGCTGCATGAAACGAGAATGCAGCTGGCTTACCAGAAATCAAAGACAGAATCCTATATCAACAAGGGAAAAGAGACCAGAAAGGAGCTTGAGAGGCAGTAATGCTGAAACTCTCAACACCTCAAACATCGCCACTCAGGTGGGCAATAATATCAAGAAGAAGAAGAAAAAAGAACTTCAGAAAGATTTCGAGGAGCTGCAAGTGGCACATGTGTTAAGCCAGGAGAGGCTTGTGCATGAGCTCAGTGTGGAGAAGGACAAGAATAAGGCTGTCCAAGAAGAACTGTAGAAGCTCAACGCTTCATACCATCAGATTAACCTAAAGTATGAAACTGATGTCCTCACACTCAGGCAGCAGGTCAAAAGCCTTCATTGTGAGCTTGAGAATGAAAAGAAGTATCACACAGACAGGGAGGAGCGAGATCCCCAGATGATCGACGTCGGCTGAGAAAAACTCGCTCACACAAACACGGTGGCACAGGACCAGAATTTAATAGACACCTTCAGGGCTGAACAGAACACCCTTCATCAAAAGATGGCAGAGGAGATCATTATCATGCAGAAGAAAGCTGATGACAAGGACATGTTCTATCAGCAAGAGCTGGAGGAGCTGAGAAATCGGCTCAAAGTTCAAACCTCATGCAACCTCCTGATCTCCACCGAGCTCAATGCTGAGAAAGTCACCAGGAGTGAAAATTCTGAGATTAAACCTGAGGAGAGAAGCCTGAAGAACAGCTTGAGGATGAACCCTGCAACCACCAGGAGTCCCTACCTAATGCCCTCCATGACCAAGACCCCACAGAGAAGACCGAGTACTCGGAAGAGATCACCCTAAAGACAGGAAAAGAGAAATCAACCAATCCGCCACTTTCTGGGACTGAGGAAACCAAAGAGGTGGAAGAAGTAAACAGAGCCTCTTTCACAGCAGAGATTACTTGGAATCATCTGACAAACCAAATGTCTGTTTAAAACTTTCTACTAAGCAAATAACAATAATGAGCCAATAAACAAATTAATCAGTTAGTCAATTTGCTATACTAAATGACATGACAAACATTATGTAATTTAGTAGAGAAAATAAACAATTTAGGCCAATTAATAATCAATAGTTTTTACTAACCTACATGAGAGACCTGCCAGACTTGTCATGTTGTGACAGATGTCATGTCATTTAGTAATAAACGAATAAAAAATTTATAATGAGGACTGCTTGGGAAAGATTAAAGGTATTGCTGGTCTATTTTGTCAGGTGCAACTCTACCTTTTAATTCTCT